AAAAGATATCAACATTTCTACTAATGTAATGTATGTATGCAATAAACATCTCGTTCATTGGATTGCCTTAATACGAATACTTTTGCAAGCAACTGTATACTTGTCAACTTCGATGTACATTCTTAAATTTGTTTCGAACTTGATCGAAATAATCGTGGCAACCGTGTCTCTTTCATTACTGGCAATGAAATTTTCATTACCACAGGGTTACGTTTTACATTCTTCTTGCGAGAGTGAGTGTTCGAATCACTTACGCGAGCTACCCCTACTTCGAAAGATTTACAACTTTTAAATTAGAATCCGAGGGAGTGCTCGCTACGTCGCACTGATTAATGATTTGATTAATCTCTATTCGTCGTTCGATGAATTTCAACTAAAAAATAGCCATGGTTTTCAACATCACGTCGAAAAAAGACTGCACGCTCAGACATGCTCGATCAAAGCTGATATTTCCAAATGAAACGAAAGGTTAATTACACAGACCGAGGGGAAAGGAACGATTAATCGAGACAGAGCGAGGGGACGTTCCACCGTGGAAACAAGGCAACAAACCAAAACCGCGAAAGAATTTTATCTGATCGATCGACTTCGGTCGTGAGGCAAGATGCGCCACAGCCGATACACAGCCATTCCTCTTCACGCTCCTTATCTATCCAACCCCGCGCCACCGGCCTGCAGTGAATTTCCAGTGTGAAACAAAGGAATAACAACGTGTAAAAGTCCGGCGTAAGTCACGGTGAACGTGTAAGAGACGTTGGACGTGGTTCGTTGTTCGGTGAACTCGCAGGCGGCGCCAACGAGTCCTTTGATGGTTCGCCGCGCGGTCGCTTTTTCAGGTAGCCACAGACGCATTAGTCACTCTTCTCGTTCTCTTCGCTTGTCTCTCTTCAAAGGAGAGAGGATGACCAGCCGCGCGCAGGTATCTAAATGAGCTGCTCAGAATTGTTAATAGGCGCCGCAGCCGCGAACAACAACGCGTGTCTCGTCGACGCGCGGCCTCTCTTTTTCCCTTCCGCCCCTCTATCATCCCCGAATCGCGTCCTGGCTCCTTTCAATTAACGAACGTTCACCATTGCCGGTGCTGCTCTGTGGTTCGCGAACCCCTTCACACGCGTACAATGATTGGAGAAAATCATGGAACGTCGCGATTAATTTCATTACCGACATTCTCAACAAAATCCCGGATTACGAAATTTTATGGAAGATGGAGGATCTGGGGATATCATGCGCGTTTGCATTAATTTCATTACTCTCAATTCTCAACAAATTCTGGATCACGAATTTTTAGAAATGCTCCTTAGAATTCCCAAGGAATTCTAGAAATGCTACCAGAGAAGCTGGGTGGAGGATTTGGAATATCTCGCACGTTAGCGTCACGCGATTAATTTCGTTAGAATTCTCAAGAAATTCTACAAATGCTGTTAGAAAAGCTGAAGGATTTTCTCAAAAGAGACCATAGTCTGGTCACTAACGTTGATCCGATTTTATCTATATAAAACTTCGTGATTATTAATCTTAATCATACAGTGCAAACGGAGCGGGAAATTTGAAATTCATCATAGACAAAAAGAGTATATATATATATATAACACATCCAAAGTAAAATATTCAGTATTTCATAAAACAAGAAAAATAATCTTAATAGTCATGATGAGAAAAACACATAAAAATCCGCTGTCTACTTGCAGTGTTACCAAGGTCTAAAAAAGACATTCGAGACACTGAAAAATTTTCACAGAATTGAAAAACCTCGATATTTTTCCAAACTTTTACTCGAGAGAAGGCAGAAAACACGGCCAAGCGTCATATACGAATCTTTTGAAGTTTCGTCAGGTATAAATACAAAAGTACCAAGAAACAAAGACAGAGAGAAAAAGAAAGGAAGAGAAACGAGAAACCGAGAGAGAGAGAAAGAGATAGGTTTTATTTTTGAGTGAAAAAGTGGTTCAAGGTCCGGGAGGGGGGGGCGGTCTTTGTTCTTTAGGAAATCAAGTATGAAGCCATCAAGCTGCCACAGTAAATCGCGAGCCGCGGGCTCGCCGAGCCCTCTGTTTTTCTGCGGCAGTCCAATCTCGGCGCCAGTCCGGAAAGCCAAATCACGGCCTCATTATAAAGTAATTAAAACCCATTACTAATGCTATCCTTTATCGCGGCCGAGCAAAAGGGCCAGAAGCCGACGCACAATGAAACGGCAGTCAGACCCTCGTCTTCTCGCCGCGGTTCTCCGATAGTGGAACCTAACCTCGATTTTCGCCGCATAATCCAATAGTAATACGCGGCACGACAGGACACCTCAGAGCCCCGAACCCTCACCGTCTGTCAATATCCGTCCTACGATGAACTTCCAATAGGATTTTCGCGTGTTTTAATTGAATTTGACGGCCAATGGACAACGAACGACACAAGTCCATCAGAACAGATAGACGCGGATGTATTTTTCAGAACGATTTCTTTCCTGTTTTCTCGTCTTTAATAACGAAACAAACGCAATTAGAAAGATATTATAAAATATTATTCGGTCAATTTTATTTTTCGTTCATTTGTATTTCAAACAAGTTCTATGCAGTATTTGAACAGTTTCGGATACTTTCTTTTCTATGCAGTTCGACAAAAAGAGCTGTAAAAAAAAAGATTGATCAAAGACGAATCAAATTATTTAATTTGTCTACCTGTACGGGCCACAGACTCATTGATACAAAGATGAATGGCGTGCGAAAGAAAGAAAGAAATTACAGAGATTACGAAACAAAGGAAATTAAAAAAAGTCAACAAGGCGAGTTAAACTGAGGAAGAAGAAATGCAAACCTACTTGATTCGTCGACCGAGAAATGATTTCACTTACCACCGGTTATATCGATCCCTTCGATAAGAACAGACTTTTTGCACTCGCGGAACGTCAACGTAATTACGAAGATCTACCAATCAGCATTCGGGAAGCGACGGGCGACAAAAAGTGACCTTAACGGAATAAAACTATGACGAAGCCGGTGGCGCCAGGGCTCCTCCAACTCATTACTCGATTCTCCTCGCTAACCCTTCATCAGCCTCTGAAGAAGACTGAGTCTCAAAATTTACCTCCGATGCGCTGGTTAATACAGCGCGAGAGAAAAGGAGAGAGAGGAAACTCTCTTTCCTTCGTTTCGTTCTTACTGCTCTTCACGGCGCTCTGTTAGACACAACGCAACGTTGAAAATGGAAAACGATTGGAAACGGGGCCGACTTCGAACAGGATAATCCCGCGTTTAACCGTGGTAAAGGGAAAGAAAAGAAGGATAAACAAACAGGAGGATGTGGTGTTCATCGATCATCCTAATGGAGGGAACGAATTCTCGTATCTGAAGTTGAAGCGAATTTGCTGTTGTGTTTCAGAGTGATGCAATTTCAATTATTAGACTAAAATAATTTTTTTTCTTTTTTTTCTTACAAATTTTTCATAGGTATAGTTAAAAGGATAACTTTGTTTCATCTGTTAAATATTATACAACAGGTACTTAAGATATTTTACTTCATAGACACTAACTGCACAAATAATTGAACACCTAGTGATTATTCTACTGACAGGTTGTCAGAGTGACGAACATTTTTCTGTTGTCAATTTTCTGCATTGTGCCACAATTGAGATCAATTATAAAATCTAACACTTCGTAAAAAATCTGTACAAACATTTTCAACGTTGCTAGAAACAAGGTGTAGAATTGATCTTATTGCGAATAATCTTCAAGTAACAAGTAATCTTTCAGTTATTATTTTTCCTATCGATATCTGTCAAGTGTATATGTTAAGACTGAATTAAAAAGATTTGTCTCTTTAAACACAAGAAAAAGAAAACGACCGATTGACCTGACAATGAGAAATCTGGGAACTCGTACATAATAATTCATTTGTTGCTCGAACGCGTAAAATTATCGCGTCTAAACTTTTTTGGATCAATAACCAGAGGTTGGTGCAAACAACGAAATTTCCAAGCTCTCGCAACAACGTTTCCACCGTGACGTTCGATAACTCGCTGGAAGCCGCTCGTTTCGCGCGTCGAAAAGTTTCCTCCACCAGCCTTCATTTTCACCGAAATGGCTGATGGAATGGCCTGCGATTAGAGAGGTGTGACATTTTCGCGATCTTATCGGCGAGTTAAGTATCGCTTTCCAGCATTCCGACAAAGCCGGCCTGGCAAAGGTAACGGTGATGACGGGTGTAGATACAAATTGGGGTCGAGAGAGCAAAGAGGTCCGATCGATCGATCGTCGAGAGATCCTTATCCTGTCTAATGGACAGAAGCCACTGGAGGCAAAATCAAGAGTCACTTATTTCGGGATCCAATGCCGTGAATTAATCGCCTCTCGAAGAAATTGAAATTCTCTCGTTTCTCCTTTTCTCCTTTTTTTTTTCTCCCATCGTTTCAAGGAGACGCTAGTAGTGTCCCCGACTGGAATAGTGAGAATTAAAAGATCTCTTTCGCCTTCATCCTCGTTAATTCGTAAAAAGACAGAGAGAACCTGTCAGATGATACAATCGCTCGGAGAAAGAAGAGGTGACTAGTCGGATCCCTTTGGCCGAGGAACGTTTCGATCATCCGATCGATTACGAAATGATTTGATTAGTTGTGAATGCTTTCGAATGTGTTCGAAGAGTTGTAACAATTTTTACAATTTCGATCGATACTGTGGATGAGAAACGAATTTGAAACCAATCTGAATATGTATATACAAGAGATAGAAAATGTTTATTGGAATTGTTTATGTTTGTTAAAAAATTAGTACGAACGATCATTTTGAACATGTAATAGAAAGTGGCTTTTAATGGATTGTTTAAATACTTCTCTGACACGTGTGAAATATAATCATACAGTGTTGATGAAATGTATTCACAAATGATTTGGACTCATTTTAAAGCTTCTACTTTGACAGTGCAGTTCGTTTTCTTCGAAGATGAAGCAGGCGAGGGAAAATTGTAAAAATACGAACCTTTTAAGAAACTTTTTTTCTCCAACTAGATTCATCATCATTTTGGAGCTCCAAGTGTCGCCTCTCGAAACTCATCATACAATTCTTTTCTTTCACCATTCAAATTCGATTTCGTCCTCTAATGCCAATGATGTTCAAAATTCAACAAAACGGTCAAAAGAAAAAGTCGTGCAGCGACTTTTACGAGAGAATTTCAATCTTCAAGACCTTGGTAAAATTTACGAAAAAAAAAAGTATCCTATTCAACACGAAAAGGACGACTGTGAAAGTGGAAAAGTCTCGCGCTTTAAAACGGGA